AGATATGGATTGCTATAGGAACATCATTTTGTGTTTTTTTTTCTAATTGATAAAAAAAACTTATTTTTAAATGTTTAAGCTAGTGTATCAAAGTATTAAGGAAATACAATTCTTAAGAATTGTATTTTTCTGTTTTAAATAAATGAAGCATCTTTAACATCTTCTTTCTTCAAAACATTATTGAAACAGAGAAATTATTTCATAAGAATTTTGTTTTCTTTTTTTTTAATACTTTGAGTTGTAATATTTTTAAATCATTGATTGTTACTGCAAGTTACAACCAAATTAAAGAATAAATTATATAAATCCATTCCCCCTTTTGTACATAAACGGTGAACACCCATCGCTCTAAGGTCGTGCATTATAATACAAAAGATTTATTTCGATCACATACTCGTGCAGCTTTAACGGCTCTATGAAACAAGTATGGTAACAGCCGTGCATATATTTTAAATTTACGCAATTTGCGTGATATGAACAAAGTGTAAAAAGCACCAAACATCTTAAGCGTTGTGCTATTGGCGCGTTAATGAAAACAAGAGGGCCATGATGGCCCTGAGGTCGCTCACCTGTATAAAGGCCCCTCCAACCCCCCAACGTTGCAGGGCCAATTTAACCTAAGGGCTTTTATTTGCACAAACTTGGTAGACACCCATAAGAAGATGTTTCATGCTAAACATCTAAGCTCTAGCTCATTGGGCTTTTTAAAAGAAGATTTTTTTAAGTTTTTACTATACACATATAGTTAAAAACAATGACACCCCTTCGGCCGGGCCAGTTTTGACCCCAGGGCTTTTATTTGAACAAACTTTGTAGACACTCACTAAAAGATGTTTCATGCTAAATATCTTAACTCTAGCTATTTGGGTTTTTTCAAAAATTTTTAAGTTTTTGCTATACACATATAAGGAAAATCAATGACCCCCGGGGCGGTGTCAATTTTGACCCCAGGTCTTTTATTTGAACAAACTTGGTAGACACCTATTAAAACATGTTTGATGCTAAATATCTTAGCCATAGCTCTTTGAGTTCTTTAAAAGAAGATTTTTTAAGTTTTTACTATATGCATATAGGGAAAATCAATGACCCCCCGGGGCGGGGCCAATTTTGACCCAGGGTTTTTATTTGAACAAACTTGGTAGACACTTATTAGAACATGTTTGATGCTCAATATCTTAGCCATAGCTCTTTTTGGTTCTTTAAAAGAATATAATATGATATGATAAACAAGATCAACAAGGAAAGGCGGCGTTCAATGAACGTTTTTACTATATGCATATTGGGAAAATCAATGACCCCCTGGGGAGGGGCCAATTTTGACCCCACGGCTTTTATTTGAACAAACTTGGTAGACACTCACTAGAAGATGTTTCATGCCAAATATCTAAGCTCTAGCTCTTATGGTTTTTTAAAAGAAGATATTTAAAGTTTTTTCTTTCGGTTGCCATGGCAACCAGAGTTCTGCATGGAATTAAATTCTTTGAACAATTTTTAAAGGTGACCACCAAAGGAACATTCCTGTGAAGTTTGGATGAAATTGGCTTAGTGGTTTATGAGGAGATGTCATTTTAAGTAAAAGTTTACGGACGGACGACGGACGGACGGACGCGGGACCAAAAGCGATCACAAAAGCTCACCCTGTCACTTTGTGACAGGTGAGCTAAAAACACTATATTTGTACTGAAAATATGTATGTAATAAATACAGTTAAACTTCAGTTCGTTCGAACTCGGATCGGATCGCTCGAATACCTTTTTCTCGCTCGCTCGAACTCATTGCACAGTCCCGGCAAAATTCCTATTCTACATCGGATCGCTCGACGAACTCTCGACACACCTTTTCGCTGGAACACATAAAGACAACAAAAAGTTTATATTCGTGAATGATCATTACTAAACTATTTGAACTCGTTTGAATAAAGTAATATCCCCGCATAATGTAATTTTATTCAACTTGTTCAGTAAATTTATTATTTAACTTACACTCATACAAAATACTCTATATTTTAGTTATTTCATTCTCCGTATACACACATATTTACTTGGTAGACAGACTGACATCTTGGGTAAAGATACGACTCGTCAAGTGGCAAATTATTACTCAACGTATACGACAGTTGATGCATTTTGTTGGTATCCTTTCTCCTATCAGAAAGAATGTAACATTGAAAAACATGAACATTAAGTGGTTTTAATATTTCGGACAATGACTGTTTAAGGGAGAAAGAGTTCTTCGTTTTTAATTTTTCATTCAATATTTTGTAAATGTCTCATAATGAATGCACTAGGCAGTCACAAGAATAAAACTTTCTCCTTAAAAAGAATTGAGTGGTGGTTTCCTAACTTGACTCGCTTGGCTCAGGTTAGAGCTTTAAAATTTCAGTGAACAAGAACATGTCAAATGAATGGCTTACATCGATCATACAATATCCACAATGTCTGTTATTGTAACTCCCACTGTTTGTTCAAGTCGCATAACTTGTTTTAAAACTACTCGATGATTCTGTCAGCGTTTAAATTTCGTTCAAAACATAGATATAATTACGCTTCAAACCCAAAATATATAGAGTTTATACAGAAATTCATGCTAGGACTTGGACTTGAAAAAGTCATTTTAGCGTGATTTGAGTACATAAAATCATTTTAATATTTTTGCCAATAATTTGAGTATCTCTCTAAGATGAAAAGGGAAAATATGAGAAAATAAGTAGACATTATTTCAAACCATTGGGTTTTTGTTGTTATTGTGTTTCTTCTCTTTTTTGCAGTATTTAGTATTTTCTAATATTTCAATATTTCAAAAAATTCTTTTTATTCAGTTTTAAGATACTTGTAACAGGGTTTAACTATCGAAATATTACACAGTATTGAGGACAAATATATTTTAATTCTATGAATTTCCGTTCCGTTGTTGCACTTCTATCAAATATCGAAATTTTGCTATTTGTGATAAGATTAAAATATGATAATGAAAACAATTTGATTTTCGTATCGCCTGGAAAGATTTCTGTTCTTCCCAGGTTGCGCAGGTTAAAATCTATGTTGCTTTAATTTATCAACGGTAATTGTAAAGTTTAATAAAACCTCCTTTTCCTGTTTCTTTGCTCACTGATTTTTTACAAGGCATATATTTGCCCATGTATTTTTAGATATATGTTTCGTTATTTCAATAGATGACATTTTCGAAAGGCATTAAAACTATCTCGATACAACACAAATAGTTTAACTTATTAAATTTACATTTTAATGCACACAGAGAATGAGAGTTACTTTGAGTTTACTATGACTATATGAGACGATGATATAGAGTAAATACTTTCTATTTATAGCCTAGGAAATTGAATAAATTTCTTTTTTTAAAAAAACACTTCGAATGTGGAAAACAAGAATATGAATTGCTCATATATCAGAGCAACCTTTTGCTCATTTCAATTGTAAATTTCATGATCATTTAGATAATATTTTAGTAAAAAACGGTTCGGTACTGTCAGTAATAGACCCTCAATGTCTAAGGGAAATGTCTTAGATAACACCGTTTAGAGTTGTGCATATAATTCTAATCGCCTATTGGCTATCGGCTTATCGATACCTCGATTTGACTGACAGCTGGCGTCTGGTCAATTGTCTATCCTACATGATACACATTAAAAATACAACTTAGTGAACTCCAGAAGCTAATTAGAAACTACACAAGTATAATAAACCAAAAGGATAACAACAATTACAGGCATTTACTAAGCAGAGTATTTTACGTTTTTACTGACATTTTCTAGTGACCATTATTCTGTGAAAAGCACGACTCTATTATTCTTTTTCTCTTTTTATCTATGTCATTCCTTTCTTCCTTGCATTTCTAAATAGAATCTGTAGCCTGTGTAAAATCCACTTTTGCTTCTTCTAACAGGGACCTGGCTATGTTCATGAAAACCAGAATCCCTAACGGAAGCAAAACACGGCAAAATAGAAAATGTTTTAAACGTGATTAAAGTCTTAAGCTTTTACAGCCACAGAAAGTCTTTCAGTGGCTTCCTCAATAACTTCATTTGCTCTTTGGAGCTCATCTTTCAACTTTTCGGCATTTTCTAATTGGGTGGTTCCAATATTCCTACTTGAATAATGTTGAATCACCCTTAGGATATGTTGCCTGCGTTTTAAATTTGTCTTTTGACGTCTTATCTGTGATATGCAGGCTTCATAACCTCAGATCCCCTTTCAAAATTCCATTTTATTTAGTTCCGCCCATTGTTTTCTCGTTTAGGGCACACGCATTCTTTTACTTGGGGACCATACGCTGCTTTTCATGGAATGACACTACTGTGTCACATTGAAGGTTCCATGATAACCGCCGTATGAACACATCTGCGGATGTTTCTAAATTCAAATTTCACCATTTTAGTGTTTAAATGTTGAATTCTGCTTAAGCCGGTGCTAGGGGGCGTGGACGGTAACTTGCAATTTCCATTACCGTCCATGAACAGGCTCAATCAAACCGAGCCTGCAACATTTTCAATTTTGCCGTGTTGGGCTTTCTTTAGGGATTCTGTATTTTATCTATTTGAGATCACCTTCTGTTTTCTTCATTTCTTTTTCATTTTATTTCCTTCTTCTGTTTTGCTCTTTCTTTAGTAATTCATTTTCCCTCTCCTTTGCCTGTTTGTCTTGCTTTTTTCTCACTTAAAAGCTTATCTTCTTTTTCAGTATCTATTGTCATAGAGTTTGCTTGCCTTACGGACATCAAGAGCTCTTTGCTCATAGGTACTTCTGTCACTTTATCATACATACTTATAATGTCTCTTGACAGCCTCAGACTGACATGTTATTTCAGGAGTCAGTATTTTCTTGTTGACAGATAAGCTCCGTACAACATCAGCATTTCAATAGGCAAAACAGAGTTGTATGCACAACTTTTTGCAAATTTGGATATTTCAACCCTGCTGCTTTGTTTTTGAAACTAAGAACATATCCCCAATAAGCATCTATTATTTTTAAGTTTTCTTTGCTTTAATGAATCTCAGCTTCAGGGACATCTTCTGCTCTATATATTTTCCATTCATGAAGGATAGAGGAAACATCTTTATCAATGATTGAGGAAAAAACATTGTTATGGACAATCAACAACACTTGTGCATGATCCTGATCTCTAACCTCAGGATGAAGCCATTGAGCTCCTCTAATAACATCTTTCAACTGGTACATTTTGGAATTTTGAAACATCTGCAGATGTGTTCATATAGCGGTTATCATGGAACCTTCAATGTGACATGTAAGTGCCATTCCATGAAAAGCGGGATATGGTCCCCAAGCCCCAAAGGAGAAAACAATTGGCGGAACAAAATAAAATGGAATTTTGAAAGGTTTGTTTGTTTCATTTTTACGCCTTTTCCCAACAGTATTTCAGTCATATAGGCGGGTAGTTTCCTAACCATCGTTCCTGGAGAGTTACACCAGTACTAGACTACCTTCATCCGTGCTAAACTACCAACGCATCTCTCGGGGAACAAACCCACGCCAGAGAGGTAACTAGATTAGTCATCGACTCTAACCACTCGACCACGGAGGCGGTCGAATTTTGAAAGGGGATTAGAGGTTATGAAGCCTGCATATCACAGATAAAACGTCAAAAGACAAATTTTCAAAAACAGGCCACATATCCAAAGGGTGATTCAACAGTATTCAAGTGAGGAATACTGGAACCACCTAACAAGAAAATAGCCGAATAGAAAGAACAAAATTACTACAAGCACAACAATAATGTCGTGCTGAACGATCGTAAATATAACATCTCTGATTGAATGTACGGGGCGACTTTTTACAGCCTCCACACGGTACAAACAACACTGAGTTTTTTTTGTGTCATTTCCAATTTCCATTGTTTCAAAATTCAAACAGGGCTTGTCCCCTTCCCCTTTGTGGGCCTATTTTTATTTTCTTTGAATTCCTAATCGGTTACAAATTAATTATCATTTAATGATTAACCTGTCCGTGCTCTGTCTTTGCCCTGTCCTGTTTTTGTTTGGGGTCCCCCTGGGCTCCTTGCCATTGGTTCTTGTTGCTGGGTCATGTGGGGGTTGCGTTCATTGAACGCCGCCTTTCCTTGTTGATCTTGTTTATCATATTTTAGTATTTTTGACATCGATGGCCAAAAAGTGCCTGCCTTTACACTTCTTTACAACATCAAATTTCAAAAAGCGGGACATAATCGACTTTAAAAATGTTGCAGCTTCAAAGTAAAGCAATTGAATAAGGGGTTCTTGTTTTGGGGGAGTTCTAGAAAAGTTTCAAACAAAGGTTCCGTATTTGTCAAGAATTGGATATCTGCATAATATTTGATAAACAAGATTAACAAGGAAAGGCGGCGTTCAATGAACGCAACCCAAACATGACTCAGCAACAAGAACCAGTGGCAAAGAATCCCAGGCGGAATCCGCTGATACCTGGAAATTTTTTCGTAAGGCTGATTCTTCATGATTGTCCTAGCTTATTATTGAGAGGTCAATCTTAAGTTCGTGTGTACATCAAACCAGTTTCGTAAAATTCTCTGCAGTAATGGCACAAACGTTAACCATTTACACTGAACATTTCAAACAATCATTTCATCTTCAAAGAAGAGACAATAAGAATCTCTAAAGAAAGCCCAACACGGCAAAATTGAAAATGTTGCAAGCTCGGTTGTTGCGTTCATTGAACGCCGCCTTTCCTTGTTGATCTATTGTTTTTTGACGTCTTATCTGTGATACGCAGGCTTCATAACCTCTGTTCCCCTTTCAAAAGTCCATTTTATTTAGTTCCGCCCATTGTTTTCTCGTTTAGGGCACACGCTTTTTATTACTTGGGGACCATACGCCGCTTTTCATGGAATGGCACGGAAGTGTCACATTGAAGGTTCCATGATAACCGCCGTATGAACACATCTGCGGATGTTTCTAAATTCAAAATTTTACTATTTCACGTTCAAATGTTGAATTCTGCTTAAGCCGGTGCTAGGGGGCCTGGACGGTAACTTGCACTTTCCAGTACCGTCCATGAACAGGCTCAATCAAACCGAGCCTGCAACATTTTCAATTTTGCCGTGTTGGGCTTTCTTTAGGGATTCTTTATTTATCTATTTTGTCATGCATGGAAGAATTTTAAAATAAATTGGCACAAATGTCTAACATATCAAAAAATAGATAAATTCAGAGTCCCTAAAGAAAGCCCAACACGGCAATATTGAAAATGTTGCAGGCTCGGTTTGATTGAGCCTGTTCATGGACGGTACTGGAAAGTGCAACTTACCGTCCACGCCCCCTAGCACCGGCTTAAGCAGAATTCAAAATTTTTTATCATTTAATGATTAACGTGTCGTTGCCCTGTCCTTTTTATGTTTGGGGTCCGCCTGGGCTCCTTGCCATTAGTTCTTGTTGCTGGGTCATATGGGGGTTGCGTTCATTGAACGCCGCCTTTCCTTGTTGATCTTGTTTTTCATATTTTATGCTCACAACCGTGTTGTTTGTGCCGTGTGGCGGCTGTAAAAAGTCTCCTTGTACATGCAATCAATGTTGTTATATTTTCATCCTCAAGGGATTGTTCGGCGTTCAGTGTCGGTGTCCCCCTCCATGTCCAGCCTTCATAGACTAATGGTTTATATTTATTTCCACTTTATTATATTTTTATACCCCAAATTTTCTTTAATCTTACCCTTTTGCAGGTTCTGTGTACACTGTGGCACTAATACTCTAGTCTCGTTACTTTAATATTGGTGCCCCACTGGACACGGAATCATTTTATTACAACATATAATTATGAATAACTTGAATAGAAGCAATACACACTTTCTTTCACCTCTTCGGGTACATTCTACGTCTACTAATTCTTTACAGATTGGAAATCACAGTACACCTAGACGAACACCATCCGTCGTTCTTTCGCCTTTTAACTTTTCATCTGTTAATTCATTTTATATTCCACGATCCATTAACTCTAATATTTTCAATAATTCTTTACGCATTAGGCTTTCTCCTATAAAACATACCATTCTTAGGAAATATAATATCACACATACTAATTATCCTCATAGAGCTAGAGTGTATTCTTCTATTAATAAGTGTAATTCTAAGAGGTGCGGATGTTGTAACTTTTTATCGCACAGGTCTACAATAACCTCTAATGTAAATGGGAGAACTTTTAATATTATTTTGAATACAGATATTGACTGAAAGGCAACTCATTTTGTTTATGTTTTAACTTGAAACACCCCTGGGTGTGGCATACAGTATGTTGGTCAGACAGGACGTTCTCTTAAAATTCGATTCCGTGAACATTTTTATAAAATGAGAAATCGCACAAAATTTACAACTTTTCTATATCAACATTTTCGTAAAGATGGTCATTCATTTAAAAATGTTTCAATTCAACCAGTGGAACAAATAATTTATGATTCTGATGCTTCTGCTAGTTTTAAAGTTAAAGTTAGACACTTAGCAGAATTAAAATGGATCAAGAACTTACAAACGCCTTTCCCACTTGGCCTAAATGACAATATTTTTCAACAAGGTAACATCTCTAAAGATCCAAACATTGATATATTTTCTATTCTGAATATTCGTAAACGTAAATCCCGATCTCACGGAGTACGTAGAAATGGCAACATCAAACGTAAATCTAAAATTACCCTGTCTGTCACCGACTTAAATATTATCTTAAAAAACTCTGGTAAACATGCAATGTTATCACGTCTTACTTCCCTTTCATTATCATCTCTGAAAATCTTAGACGCGGAGCAGTAACCTTTCTTAATAAAGGTATCGATTTCATCGATTTACCAAGTATTTTTCGTGATAAACGTGTCACTAATTCAGTTCCTTTATACTTCAAAAACTCCGAGATACCAATTATTTGCTATAAATATAAGAAACCTGTTAGAAATATCATATTTAATTACAACAAAGTGGTTTCTGACTTAGATATTCAGTCTAATACTCCAACAACTTGAGACTGCAATACTTCTAAATTCTGTAATTCAGATTTTGGCCATATAATCACTGGTAATTTTGATATAATTGCAGACAAAAGAATTCGTAACTTATTCTTGAAAGGACCTAAATACAGAATTCCTTCTGAGATTGATTTTAATGCTTGTCGTGGTCAGATTGCTGAATCTATAGAGGATTTTTCGGTCAAATGGTGTCGCCGTGAAAATGCGGATAGTAATGCTCTAGTTACATGGAAACGTAACATCTTTAAAATTATTGATTCACGTATTAATTTTTATCGTGGAAATGAACATCTTTTGCCACTAAACCAAGACTTACTTTAAGACATCTAAAAAAAGATATTCTAGCTTTTCATTCAAATTTGTTTTGGTGCCAGCGGACAAGGCGGCTAATAATATTATAATTGTTGACGAATCCATTACATTAAACGTTTTGCATAAGGAACTAAATAGCACTAATGCGTATTCTAAAACCTCTGCCTCCGAAAAAGACATTGTAAACAATCATTTTACTAATATTTCCAATCTTAAAGTCCAAATTAATGAAAAAGAACTCAAACTTCCTATTATGTATTGGATTCCTAAATTACATAAAAAACCTTACAAAGCCAGATTTATTGCTAATTCTACATCTTGCACTACAAGTAAACTTTCTATTTTATTGACGTCTTGTTTGACTGCCATGAAAACACATGCAATTAGATATTGTGATAAAGTCTATGAAAACACAGGCAAACATCTCTTTTGGTCAATTAAAAATTCTGGTGAAATCTTGGATAAATTCAAAATTAATAACTTTCAAGCTTCAACTGTCAGTACATACGATTTTTCTACACTTTATACAACTTTGCCACATAAATTAATCAATGATAAACTAATTTCCCTAATTCAGAAAACTTTTGCACGGGAAAAAGTTACCTTTCTAGCATGTAATTCGAACAAAGCTTTTTTTACTAACGGTATTGTTAAACATTATACTATGTGGACCTGTGACGAAGTTTGTAGAGCACTCTCTTTTTCTTTTAGACAACATTTATGTCAGGTTTGGTAATACCCTATTTAAACAGATCATAGGAATTCCTATGGGTACTATTTGTGCACCCCTGGTCGCCGATTTGTTTTTGTACTGCTATGAAAGAGACTTTATGTTGAGTCTCTCTGAAGAGAAACAACAAGATGTTATAGTCGCATTTAATAATACTTCCAGATACCTTGATGATATTTTTTAATTTAGATAATCCTTATTTTGATCAAATGGTGTCTGACATTTTATCCGCATGAACTACAACTTAATAAAACGAACTCTTGAAATTTTAGTACATCATTTTTGGATCTTCATATTACTATCAACAACAATTCTATTCACACGAAAATTTATGATAAAAGAGATGACTTTGACTTTTGTATAGTTAATTATCACACATTTGGATGGAGACGTACCCCATGCAACATCCTACGGGGTTTATGTTTCTCAGTTAATTAGATTCGCTAGAGCTTGTAACAACGTAAAGGATTTCAAACGAGCGGAATATTTTTATTACCAGCAAGCTTCTAAAACAGGGCTACCGCTATCATAAATTACGGAAATATTTTACTAAATTTTACAATCGTAACTTTGATTTAATTTCTAAATTCAATAGTGATTTAAAAAACTCTTCTGCGACAAGGGATTAGCCAGCCTGGTTTTTATGGCGATGTGGTTTACAAACTTCGTAAGATTTTGGGTCATGGTAATTTTTCTGCTGTTTTTACTAAAATTATTAAACGTTTTATTAAAAGAGGTTATGACCCTACTATTTTAAGACATACTGCATGTTTAGTGTTCAACCCTTTTACAGTTGGACACTACGCTTTCCTCTTTTGATTGCATCTGACGGACCAAGTGGGAGACTCTATGATGGATAGTTCGTAAAGCCCTTTGGGACTGAATTGTCTTAATGTTCTGCTCTTCTGCCTTGCTTCGTCGGGTCCTTGTAGGTGATTTTCTTGTTGCTCTGTCTTCCTTTAGGACATTGAGTACTTTTGTTATGGTCATTGGGTTTACTTTTATATGTTTCTACATGATCATTTTAGTGTTTTACTTATTTAACCTTTTGTAACCATGACAACTGTTAGAATTTCACTTGGCGGGGATTCATTTTATTTACACTGTCTCGTTTATAGGAACATGGTGGGGCTAAGAGCGAGGTTTGGTGCACCATTAACCGGTTTAAACTCCCCAGCAGTCATTATGCTGCTGACCGTTCCAAGGCGGCGCCCCACTGTGTTCCTCAGATGTATGTCTATGTTGTTTCATACTGTTTTGGTGACACTTTTGCTTGTATTGTTTTCTCGTCTACGGTAAGTATCTTCCCCATTGCCACTAGTTTTTATTTCTTTGATTAACCCCCCCCCCCTTCCCCCGGTCTCCTGTCCCCTTCCCCTTTGTGGGCCTATTATTATTTTCTTTGAAATCCTAATCAGTTACAAATTATTTATCATTTAATGATTAACGTGTCGTTGCCCTGTCCTTTTTATGTTTGGGGTCCGCCTGGGCTCCTTGCCATTAGTTCTTGTTGCTGGGTCATATGGGGGTTGCGTTCATTGAACGCCGCCTTTCCTTGTTGATCTTGTTTTTCATATTTTGAACATGAAATAGTAAAATTTTTTAATTTAGAAACATCCGCAGATGTGTTCATACGGCGGTTATCATGGAACCTTCAATGTTACACTTCCGTCCCATTCCATGAAAAGCGGCGTATGGTCCCCAAGTAATAAAAAGCGTGTGCCCTAAACGAGAAAACAATGGGCGGAACTAAATAAGACATGGAATTTTGAAAGGGGATCAGAGGTTATGAAGCCTGCGTATCACAGATAAGACGTCAAAAGACAAATTTAAAAAGCAGGCAACATAACTAAGGGTGATTCAACATTATTCAAGTAGGAATATTGGAACCACCCAACTAGAAAATGCCGAAAAGTTGAAACTAAAAATACCACAAGCACAAAAATATATAACACAAGCTAAACAAGGTTAAGGCCGATCATATCATAAGTCAGTAAGAAGATCGGAAAACATCACTTACGAAAAGATGGTGTCCACTTGACAGCAAAAGCTTGATCCTTGTTGATCTTGTTTATCATATTTTTTTGAAAATAGTTCAACAAGAGCTAAAAATCAGCCTTATCAAAGTAAATCTTTACTTTGAAAAAAAAAAACAGTCCTTTTCAGGACTACCACGAGTTTAGAGACTGGCCAGGCGGGATCTGCCGGCAGTCTATCATTCGGTAATGATCCATCCGCAGGTTCACCTACGGATACCTTGTTACGACTTTTACTTCCTCTACTCCGGTCAATTTGCGCATCTTCTCGGCACAACCGAGAGCCACCCCGCGAAGGGCAGCCTACGGGACCAATCCGAAGAGCTCATCAACTGGAGCGATCGGTAGTAGCGACGGGCGGTGTGTACAAAGGGCAGGGACGTAATCAACGCGAGCCGATGACTCGCGCTTACTGGGAATTCCTCGTTCATGGGGAACAATTGCAAGCCCCAATCCCTAGCACGAATGGGGTTCAACGGGTTTCCCAACCCTCTCGGGTCAGGCGAGACGCACGCAGTAATTCAGATTGGACACACTTTCCTTAGGACAGATGTCCTAAATGGGCATATTTTTTTAGGTCATTTGTCCTAAAGTACAAAAAAAACTTAAGACAATTTTTGTAACAGTCAAATGAATAATAAAACATTATTGACACTTTCAAGTTTACTTTATTAATATCCCTTTTGTTGGGGGAAAATATTTCATTCATTTCTATTTCAGTCAGTAAACAATTTTCTAGGTAGCAGCTGCTTTCCCATGCCTTTAAAGCATCTTCAAATGGGAAAATCTTCCCTAGGCTTGCCATTTATCCTTATCCTCATGATTTGGTCCTGAGTGTCAGGATTGAGCCTGTTTCTCAAAGCTGTAAGAGTTTGATTTTGAACAGAAAACCCCCTCTCACAGCCTGCAGTGTTTACAGGACATATGATGGCAAAAAATAGATAAAATACAGAATCCCTAAAGAAAGCCCAACACGGCAAAATTGAAAATGTTGCGGGCTCGGTTTGATTGAGCCTGTTCATGGACGGTAATGGAAATTGCAAGTTACCGTCCACGAAAGACTGGCCAATATCAAAAGGTTAGGGAACTGTTCACCATGAAACTTATTTATAAGATGCCACAGTTTAAAGAGATCATCACGGGGATACATTTCTGCTTTAACAAGTATCTTAATCTGTTTCCATTCATTTTTTGTTGCATCTGGATCTATGATTGGAGAGCTGGTCTTAGTGTGCTGCACCCCATCAACCTTCCATTTGTGACTTTTCTCCTCTCCAAAATGATTGACCAGAATGTCTATTTTTTCATCACCCCAGGTTTTCAGTTCAACATCTGACAGTAGTGTGATGGGCCTCATTGAGAGTACCCCAAATGAGGATAGAAGATCAGTATCTGGAAACCTGAAATTATACAAGAAAAACAGAATTATACTATTTTTTAATATACCTATATGTTATGTTATGTATAAACAATTATAGTTTTTATATGTCATATGAAATAATAACATGTAAAAATACTATCTGCATTTTAGATACTTTATACTAGTGTGGAAAATGTCTTGGAATGCAATGAATTACCTTTTCTCAATATTATTAACAAGTGCAGTGATAAATTTCTCTTGGCACTAGCTATTGTCACTTTTTTTGACACTGGGGAGATAGTGTGCTCCTTGAAGCAAGTGTCTGTAATGACCTCAGCTAACTTCTGCTCATGGCATCCTGGAGTGCTTATCAACTGCTGTAGGTCTGACAATGTCTGGTCAATCTTCACCTGACAAAAATAATGTTTATTTATAATAATGTTTCTATTAATAATTATTTATTTATAATAATGTTTCTATTAATAAAGGTTTGATTCTAAATAGTTTATTGCATGGTTTTAAAGAATAAGCAATCTGAATTATTTTTATGCTCACCAAGTATAAATCAATACTTCAAGCATTAGCAAGTTTTGTAAGTAACTTTTAAGCGAATTTTACCTTGACTAATGCTACATCTGTAATTTCCTTTTGGATTAGAAAAGATTCAACTGAGTCACAATTGGAATGATGTCCATCATTATGTAGGTAATAGATATGAACTTCAGTGTGGCAATCTGAAATGATTAAAGTTTCATTATTGTTTGTTGGTCAATTAAATCAACAAGATATTTTTCAGACAAAGTATTTTTATACAGAAAATTATCAATTAAATGTTTTAATTAACATGAAATTGAATTTAAAAATAATTTTGAAATCTTAGCTAGAAAATAAAACACAGTTGCAATACAATAACATATATGTGAAAAGATATAAAGTTGTAACAAACTTACTGTAAAACAATGTGATTTCATCCAAAATAACTATAACGGCCAACAGCAGCAAACATCTATTAAATAACATACATTGAAATGTAAAATGAAATAGGAACATTCAAACTAAAATCTGTATAACAAAACAGCTAACTCTGAACATGTGGTTATTTTCAGCATTTTAATTTAATGTTTTTTTTGCATTTAAATCAATAAGGTCAATTCAGAAATAATAATTTAAATATTGTTTATAGCATGAGCCACAAAGAGGCTTTATTCTGTCAGTTGTAAAAAAATGACTTCAAAACTGCTGAAAATATTTAGAAAACAAGTATATTTATAACCTGTTTGCAACAGAAATAATTTGACAACCTTTTTTTTCAATCCTTGTGCTTTGGCATCACTCATTGGGGTGGCAGCTAGATAAGTAATCAATGGATCCAAGCCCCTGAAATAAAAAAAAACATACATTTAAATTGCTGTAATTATGTTCTTTTATGCATATGAACTTTGTGTTTTAGGATTTTCAAGGAATAAGTTGATATTAAAATAGGCTTGGTCTGTCTATAACTGAAATTGCTTTAAACAATCAAAGATTTTATTCACAATAGCAAACATAAAAATGCATATCGGAAAAAAACATCATGTTATATGTTTATATGTTCAACTGTTTATGCACATTGGCAAAAGATGATGATCATGTTATATGTTTAAATTTAAAGTTTTTAAATAGTTTACTTGTAAACTGCTTCAAGTGCAGAGAAGAACGACATCCACCGAACAGCATGGACCTCTTTAAATCTCAATCGGGGGGAGTCCAATACATCCTGAATGGCCTGTAACTTTGCAACTCTTGCAGCAGAGAATTTGAAGTAGTAAAAGATAGCTGAAATGATTAATCAATTCTTAAATAACTTATTCTTCTTAAAATGTCATGTGCTATATACAAAATCAAAACTAAATACTTTGTTGATTGAAGTAAGCTTACATCAGACTTAGGAAACAAACAAGATTATAAAAATATCTTAGCATTGAATTTGACAGAATTTTTTATTTGTTGGTTTGACAAAAATTTTTATTTGTTGGTTTATGCTTAGAATTTAATCAAAATTTAGTAAACTGCATAAAAATGAGCTTATCGATAGTTATAATTATTACTTACATGTTATGACTTCCTGATATGCTTTCATTGGTGGCACAGAATCAGACGCCTGACTTGTTCACAACGCTAGTCTGTGGGCAATGCAGTGTACATTCATGATATGTGGGTTTTGACGCAGCATCATGCCTGTAGTTCCTCTGTCTCTACCTGAAATTTTGTAGAATTGCTAAATATTACAAGTCACTATGTTTTAGGAATAATCATTGCATTTCAAAGAAAAGTCAACTTTTTTTATAACAGCAATACCACCATGTGTCACATCATAAAAATTTAACTTTGATTTATTGTGCATTGAGTATTAACATTGGTCTCATTTTTATCAGTAAAATTTTGTGCTTAGTTGTAAAAGGTACCTGTCATTGCACTAGCTCCGTCTGTGCCAAGACCCATTATCTTTTCAGGACCAATTCCCCTTTTTTCCAACTCCTTGTATAGTGCAGAAGAAATAGCTGCACCTGTTCCTTCATCTAGGCGAATGTTGCATAAATATAATGTTTCAGGAAAACATATCCTCCCCCAAAACCTGGCAATAAATGAGTAGGCGGTGTGTAACAGTACGATCTGTTAATTCGTCACAAAGAAGTGTAACAAATGGGAACTTCTGTAGTTTCTGTACAGTATGTGTCTCCACAGTGTCGGATACAGCTTTCAAAAATTCATGACTAGCATAGTCCGACTCATAGCTTATACCGTCAGATACAGACAGATGATTGTAGCCACTCACACCAACACTTTTCTGAAACTCAACGAGTGATTTGAATTTACTGAGTGGTATATTTTCTTCAACCAGGTAATAAACTGTCTTTAAGGCAAGTAGAACCGCTTCGTCCTTGGCAGAGAAGTGCTTGTTCATCACACTTTTAAAGTCATCTTTACATGCATTTGCCGCTAAAGATCTCTGGTGATCTTTTGATTTAACATGGTCACTAAAAGTACTTGTTCTAAAATTATTACAACCTTGTGTAAATATGTTGTCGCGTCCGTCGTTAATACAAAGGCTACAAAACATCAACTGCTTTTCTGTATCGAACTTAAGCCACTTGTGGGCCTGAAATAGTGAAAAACAGAATCCCTAAAGAAAGCCCAACACGGCAAAATTGTAAAATGTTGCAGGCTCGGTTTGATTGAGCCTGTTCATGGACGGTACTGTGAAGCCATTTATTTTGAAATGAACGTGGTACTTTAGAATCAGATGAACTACCTTTTTCTTTGATAGGCGGCTGGTTTGACGATTTTTCACTATTAAAACCAACACTAAATAAAGATCGTTGTTTTGCATCAAAGAGAGGTTTTTTCGCCGCTATATTTGTCATACAACAACGATAAACATCGAAGCGTTCCGCACTACACTAAATCAATAAGCGCCGGGTACCGATAAGCGCCTGTATGACTCGGATTATTTTAAATAAACGATTCGTACTTTATCTTTTTAATCGCATAGATAGGGACGAAAATATCTGTTATAATCGAGGCAAAATTGTAAAATGAAGTTTTGACCGTTTGCTACAGAAATTTTTCGGTCAAATTGTCTGACAAACTGAATTTTTCTCGGCCCGATTGACGTACTGAATTTGTTTTTTCCGGTCATCGGTAGCTTTTATCGGCCATTGACCGAAGGGCCGATCCAATCTGAATCACTGGCACGCTGATCCATTCAGTGTAGCGCATGTGCGTCCCCGAACATCTAAGGGCATCACAGACCTGTTATTGCTCAATCTCGTGTGGCTAAGCGCCACTTGTCCCTCAGGACTCGATAGAGGATCCCCGAACTATTTAGTAGGCTAGAGTCTCGTTCGTTATCGGAATTAACCAGACAAATCGCTCCACCAACTAAGAACGGCCATGCACCACCACCCACCGAATCAAGAAAGAGCTCTCAATCTGTCAATCCTTGCAGTGTCCGGGCCGGGTGAGGTTCCCCGTGTTGAGTCAAATTAAGCCACAGGCTCCACTCCTGGTGGTGCCCTTCCGTCAATTCCTTTAAGTTTCAGCTTTGCAACCATACTCCCCCCGGAACCCAGAAACTTTGGTTTCCCGGAGGCTGCCCGCCGAGTCATTGAAGCAACTCCGGCGGATCGACAGTTGGCATCGTTTATGGTCAGAACTACGACGGTATCTGATCGTCTTCGAACCTCTGACTTTCGTTCTTGATTAATGAAAACATGCTTGGCAAATGCTTTCGCTGTAGTTCGTCTTGCGACGGTCTAAGAATTTCACCTCTAGCGCCGCAATACGAATGCCCCCGTCAGTCCCTATTAATCATTACCTCGAGCTCCGAAAACCAACAAAATAGAACCGAGGTCCTATTCCATTATTCCATGCACCATTATGCAGGCGGCCAAGGCCTGCTTTGAGCACTCTAATTTCTTCAAAGTAAACGTTCCGGCCGCCCGAGACACTCAGTCAAGAGCACCAAGGGACGGTACGCCGGCGTGGAGGCCAGGACGAGCAGTGACCGCCGCGAGACGGACCGCAAGCCTGCACCCGAGATCCAACTACGAGCTTTTTAACTGCAGCAACTTTAATATACGCTATTGGAGCTGGAATTACCGCGGCTGCTGGCACCAGACTTGCCCTCCAATGGATCCTCGTTAAAGGATTTAAAGTGTACTCATTCCAATTACGGGGCCTCGAAAGAGTCCCGTATTGTTATTTTTCGTCACTACCTCCCCGTGTCGGGAGTGGGTAATTTGCGCGCCTGCTGCCTTCCTTGGATGTGGTAGCCGTATCTCATGCTCCCTCTCCGGAATCGAACCCTGATTCCCCGTTACCCGTTATCACCATGGTAGGCATAGCACGTACCATCGACAGTTGATAGGGCAGACATTTGAAAGACGCGTCGTCGCCGCAAGGGCATACGATCGGCACAAAGTTGTTCAGAGTCACCATAGAGGACCGGCCACGAGGACCGGATTGGTTTTGGGCTAACAAAAGCGCTCTTCCCGTAAGGTCGGAGCTGTGTTGCATGTATTAGCTCTAGAATTGCCACAGTTATCCAAGTAGGATTGTACGATCTAAGGAACCATAACTGATTTAATGAGCCATTCGCAGTTTTGCCGTGTAAAGGCGTGTACTTAGACATGCATGGCTTAATCTTTGAGACAAGCATATGACTACTGGCAGGATCAACCAGGTAGCTACTACGGTGAGAGCAGAGGGGCCGGCCGCGCCCAAGCCAGGACACTGCGAGACAAACTTTGTTTTATACAGATGTCATTGAAATCTTTTGGTGAATGGTTGTAAGTTTATAACTTATGCATGTATATGTCTATAAGATCTTGTAATCTATAAGCATTTTCTCTTCTCTCGCCAACGCACAACAGAGTTATTTCTTTACTTTTGGATTATTTTGATCACAGTGCATTATAAAATGCAATTCCAAATATTATTTCTGTTACAAAAATAGCCTTAAAATTCTTTAAAAAGTAAACTATTGGAAGAAAAAAGGCACAGGCTTAATCTCTGAAATTATTTTGTAATTTTGTTGTGATTAATACTTCCGAGGGATCACTTTATTTCCAGATGTTTAGAGAAGGGAACAAACACTATCCTCTCTTTATTCGGTCTTAAAACTTTTGCACATTGACCCATAAAAATATGAAAAAATAAGGTAATGTTTACCTTCGTTGTGAATTGTATGCACTTGAATTAAGCACAAAAGGACCAATTCACTTGAAATGTTTCTGTTATCACATTTTAACAACATGCCAAGTTTAAAAATATATATATTTAACAGTTTTAATTCTTCCTCTATGAAACCTCCCGAAAACGTCTTAAAATTCTTTTTATTATAAAGATTAAGTTCTAGTAAGTGTTTATGAAAATATTTTTCGTCAAAGATAATCGATCGTTACAAATATGTGTGTCAAAATATAACGATTGTTACTACATCTTCAAATTGCAAACATTAAAATGACGACTGCATAAAATGAAGTCGTATATGCTTTAACATGGTAGATCTAATTAAAGAAGCGTACTTTAATTGTATTCAATTGCGAATATTTTAATATATAGATTAAGAACACTCAAAATATCAGTTGCCTTTTGAAATGAACTTTATTGTCATGATAAAACGTTGTGTGATTTGTTAACTGAATACTATTTTTTGTTTCTAAATAATAACCATTAGAAAAAAAAACATTTTTCATCATTATATTATATATTTTTTAGTTTCCTCATTTCTGAAAAACAGACCTCCTAATTATAACTCGTAACCAGAATTGTGAATGTTGTTTCAGTTTTGCATATATGCGTCTTTTCAGCCTTGTGACTGGCCGATATTGTTATTTTTCAGGTCTTTATAGTGCCTATTAGTAGAGCTGTCATCGATATCGACAATATCGATGTATCGTTGATATTTTTTTGTCGATCAATAATCGATACACATTTTAAAAAATCGATACTTTTGACTTATAAATTAAATGTCTAGAAATTATACAATTCACCCAAAATATATACAGAAACAATTATTTATATCTAATTTTATGCTTTTGTTATATAGTGGAATTATTTCATAATCATAGCAATGGTGACAAAAAATATTGTCTGGAAAAAATCATGCAGTGGACAAGACACTGTACAGAACATGTTTTTGACTGAAATCATTGAAACAGGTATGAAAGTGAATGACAGACAAGTGAGTATAGGATATTATCGATATATCGGTGTATCGTTGATTTTTGTTACTTGATATCGATATATCGTTGATATGCTTTGCACTGAATCAATGACAGCTCTACCTATTAGTGAGTTTTTCTCACACGTGTCTGTGTGTGCGTGTTCGTGCGTGTGTGTATGAAAATATGCTAAATTTGAACTCTTTCAGAGTTCCTTAACGTGCATTGTAGTTTTGTAACGTATTGATTACAATGAAATTCGCTTTCAGATGAAACACCTGAGATCTTATGCAGAAATATGATAATTAAAGTAAATTAACGGAAATGTCACTGAGCTTATAAAAGAAAATATTTTCATCTTAAGTACTGTATTAAAATGAATTATAACTTTAATTTGCCCTGTCCTGTTTTTCTTTGGGGTCCTCCTGGGCTCCTTGCCGCTGGCGCTTGTTGCTGGGTCGGGTGGGGGCTGCGTTCATTGAATGCCGCCTTTCCTTGTCGATCTTGTCTATCATATTTTAATCAGTCATTCAAACAGGTTGTTCGTACTAATGCCTTTATAACAATACTTTTCAATTCAAATCAATACCTCGTGTTAACTATTTCATGTGGCTTTGTCTCAGGAGCCGTTGTGCTTTTTATTTGCTGCCAGCTTATTAACCCTGAAATTGTTTACCTCAATTTTCACCTCTGTTTTGTTTTATTGTGTTACTCTCATGACATCTCCCTTTTCCAACAACTTGAGGCAAATGTTGAGATGATTTTGGCTGCCCGTCCTTTCATATTAAAAAAAGTATTCTAGAAAAATAGGATTTACGGAACTGGATATTAAAGGAATCTTTTTAATGTGAATCATTTGGATTCCATTCCGCT